ATTGGGGCTCGTACAATTCATAGATCAATTGTGTAGAGCACATCTATACATTTGTTGCCCTCATCATTCCCAAAATTCGCTTGCCTCTGTATTATATATCTATCTATCTGTTTATAATTTAACAGTTCATTTCTTGTGTTATATATCTATCTGTTTATAATTTAACAGTTCATTTCTTGTGTTTTATCTATCTATCTTTATAAACATATATATAAAATTATTAGCAATCTGGTTTTATCTCTCTAGAGAACCTTGTCTAATACAACACGCAATCATGCTTACATTAATTTGGGGGTTAACAAGAGGGAAGTAAGTTATTTTTAAACTACATGTAGAATATTGCTCTAGGATATTGCTTAAATACTTTCATAAACATTATTTGTGTACTGACCTTTTTATCCCTCCAAATGTTTGTGCATGACCTAAGAATTTTCCAAAGTCAATATGAAACATGTGGCCTGACTTTGTCAGCATAATGTTGTCATTGTGACGATCACACACTCCCAGGATGAATGTCACCACACACCAGCCCGCACAGGAATAGAAAAAGTTCTTCAAGGCCTTATCAGTGGAAAACAACAATAACACAAAAATAACAGAAAAAAGAGAAAACATATTAGCATCAAAGGTAATGGTAAAAAGAAAACGATAAAAATCACAATAATATAATGAAAAATTTTTGCATCTCAGTGGAAAGAAGGATGCCGTTAAGTAGTTGATTCATAACATCCTAAAGGAAAACATGAAGCAATCTGTTCTTTAGCTTAATAGATGAATGTTTTCACTGCAAGTGAAAGAAGTATCTCTCTCATTCTGATGCAGTTAATTTTTATGGTTTACATGAGAAGCTTGCTTGGCTTTTTCATTTTTGCTTCAAATATACAATATTGAATGATTTTTTTCAAATAAAAAGAAGGGGAAATAATATGATCTAGCATTACCCATCTTCAAATTAATCTATAATATTTTAACTATTGTTGATAGTGCATCCGTTTTTGAATATAGAAAATTATATATTGATATATTCGTGCCATTTTATGTTGCTCCAGCAATGTCTGCAATGTTGTTATACAGTATCTGTTTTATCTTGTATAGTATGGTGTTTGGTACAACGCTGTGTGGGTAGAAGCAGATAACCATTAAATCAATTGCGGCACTTTTCTATAATGAGTAGTGGCATCCTTCTACAAATAGTATTCGTTGTCTTCAAAATGATTTCCATTCAGCTTTGTTGCCATTCTACTGTGAGTGAATTGTTGCATCAGGACTATGGGTCCCTTAAAATGGAATGGCCAACTTTCTAGGGTACAAGGGTCACTGGACTGTGTGCCAGATAACTTGGCTTTATGCTTCTGAAGTTCTTGGACAATACTTAAATATGTTCTGCATATTCCACATGGTGATAGCGAAGAGAAAATCACTGATGAAACACTTCATACTCCTCTGGTTCCTTGAGGCTTCCTCACCCCCACCATCATGACCCTAGTTCTACCTTTCACTGCGGGCTAGACCAGAGCATGTGCACAGGTACGGATAAGACATAAGAGCTCATGACATACAGAATCCAGGAACAGGAATGGGAGAAGGGATACCAGGAAGGCAGGGGGAGGGAGGAGAGGAAGGAGGGAGGAACTGACCATGACGATTAATACATACCCTCCCCAGGGGGACAAACAACAGAAACCGTGGGGGAAGGGAGACAGTGGTCAGTGTAGGATATGAAAGTAATAATAATATATAATTTATTAAGGGGGGGAACTGACACAAAGGGCTCAATAGAAAATGAATGTCTAGAAAATAATGATGGCAACATGTGTGCAAATGTGCTTGATCCAATAGATGTATGGATTGTTACAAAATCTGTAAGAGCCCTCAATAAAATGTATTTTTAAAAAAACTTCAAGAGATGTATAAAGGACTATATAAATGCAATCCTAACTCTAGGAAGAGTTTTGTGTACAATTCACAGTGATAATTTTGGGGTTAGATGGAAAGCAAATTTCAAAATATTGGCCTCCAGCAGCCTCTGCTATTCTCTACTTCGACCTCAAAGAAGGACGGAATGTAAGAACTCTCAAGTTTCCAAGTTTGCCAACGATGACTGATTATCCAATGTGTTAGAGACGTAGTGGTTCTCCAGAATCAGGGTTCACAGTGTCAAGATTGAGACTGCTTTCAGCAAACTTTAATGCTAGATCACAAGAAGCCCTGTGGGGCTGCAGGAGAACCACTGGCCTGCTTGCGAACTGAAAGGCTGGTTGTTCAAATGCATCAGCCACTGTGGGAGGAAGATGGGGCTCTCCTGAAAAAGATTTTACAGGTTTAAAAGCCTGTCGTACTGTCACTCTGAGTTCAGATGGACACGATGACAATAATTTTCATTGCTGTTTTCAAAATGCCAGCCCATGTAGGACATATTTGTGTAAATGACCACAAAGATGTACCTGCTTCTGGGTGGATTCAGCTGCACTAATTCATGGCTTGACAAGGGGCAAAAAGACTTGACTGTATTGATTCTAAAGAATTCTGGTGGCACCATAGGTCAGGTATCAGGTTACTAACTGCAAGGTCAGTAGTTCAGATGGACTAGCTACCCTGTCAGAGAAAATGGAGGCTGGCTGCTCCGAAAAATATTTATAGTCTCTGAAAACATGTGTAGAACCATTATTATGAGGCAAATTTGCTCCAGGATAATGGGTTTGGGGAGCGCTGACTGTAAACACAGTCGTCCCCTTATCTGGGAGGGGTTCTCCCGACCACACTGTAAACTGCAGGTCAGATTCCAGGATAAAGTAGGAGAAAATGTTTTCATCCAACTACAATGGTGTATCTATTAAAGTCCTGAACTGTAAAAACTATAAAACCCTGTGATACATTCCTTCAAATCATTAAAAGAATAAATCAGCCAGAACAAATAGTAATACATGGCAGAAAGCCTGTATTGCAAAGAAGGGGTGGAGATTTCGAGAAATCAGGAGTGTTCAGAGAGGTGCTGGTTTCCTGACAGAGGCAGGCAGCTTCAGGGTCCTAGTCTCTGTGGGTGACTTTACTGAAAGGCAGATATTTGAGTGAAGACATTCTGATTTGATAGTCAGAAATTTATCCACAAGTGAAACAAGATGCCTTGCTTTAGTTACTATTCCATTTAAAGGCAATCATTATTACCAGTAATTATTATTGAGTCAATTTTATTTTAATTTTCCCCTAAATCAAAATATCTACTAGATTAGATCATTTTTTTCTTAAAGCATATTTTTAAAAATTATAGACAACAGAACAAACCTTTTCATAATCTGCTCGTACAGGGTGGTTCTGACTGAACCACTTTTTGATGGTATTTTCTTTCAGTGGTCCTATCAATCCAGAATTGCGATGGATCTTTCCCAGGGTGACAGCATCTGGCACCATTTGGACCAATCCTGCTTGATAAAAAAAATAAAGATAAGAAGACAATTTTTCTATAGTGGATGAAAGATAATTGATTTGTGTAACAACACAGTTGATGTCAGCACTACTTGAATTACTTGTTTAATTACCTATTTCCTTTCACACTCTCTCTTCTGAAAGAGCCCTGTGTGTGTAGGTGGTCTTACTTTTTTTCTTAACTCCTGGGATAATAATTATTGGTTGTGCTTAGATCAGATCTCACATGTTGCTGTAATTTTTAAATTCTTTTCAGAACTATAATTCATTGTCATCACGTCAGTTTGCACCCTTAGAAATATGATGGTGCAACGTAGAACTGCCCCTCTGGATTTTCTAGATTGCAAGACTAGAAAGTCTCATAATGCCTCTTCTTTCTTTCACTGAGCACTTGGTTGTTTTGAACTGGTGACCTCGCAGTTAACAGCTGACCACATAACCCACTATGCCACCTGGGCTCCTCTGGAGAACTTTGGTAGAGAGAAAATCCAGCTGATCTTTGTCTTATACAAGAAGTCATAGAATCGACAGAGTTTAAGTAGCATATGGATGGTAAATTCATTTAAAGTTAAGGGGTTAAGCTCATGGTCTTATAACAAATATTTATGACTTATATGAGCCAAACACAGTCTCCAAACAAGCTACGGATATAAATAATCAATGTTCAATTGGTGATTAATACATGTTAATCCCCCTTTCCCCTTTCTGACCCTGTAAAGGTGCCTC